CCACTCCAGGTCGGGGGGGAGGTCCTGCCTCAGGTGGAGGAGTTTAAGTATCTCGGGATCTTGTTCACGAGTGAGGGTAGGATGGAGCGGGAGATTGACAGGCGGATTGGGGCGGCGTCAGCAGTGATGCGGACGCTTAACCAGTCCATTGTGGTGAAAAGGGAGCTTAGCCAGAAAGCGAAGCTCTCGATTTACCGGTCGATCTACGCTCCAACCCTCACTATGGTCATGAGCTCTGGGTAGTGACCGAAAGAACGAGATCGCGAGTACAAGCGGCCGAAATGAGTTTCCTCCGCAGGGTGGCTGGGCTCAGCCTTAGAGATAGGGTGAGGAGCTCGGATATCCAGGAGGGACTCGGAGTAGAGCCGCTGTTCCTCCACATCGAGAGGAGCCAGTTGAGGTGGTTCGGGCATCTGGTAAGGATGCCTCCCCGACGCCTCCCTTGGGAGGTATTTGGGGCATGTCTAACCGGGAGGAGACCTCGGGGCCGCCCCAGGACACGCTGGAGGGATTACATCGCCCGGCTGGCCTGGGAACGCCTCGGGGTTCCCACGGAAGAGCTGACAGAGGTGGCTGGGGAGAGGACTGTCTGGGCTTCTTTGCTGAGGCTGCTGCCCTCGCGACCCGGACCCAGATAAGCGGAGGACGACGAGACGAGACAAGACGTGTTCCTTCTTTCTGATGTTGCTGTCAGCTGGTATCACCACATCTACCACCACTGCCCTCTTTTGATGTTTGTCAGCCACCACTATGTCTGGTTGATTAGCCAGCAGCTGTTAGTCAGTCTGGAAGCTGAAGTCCCACAGGATCTTAGCCCTGTTGTTCTCAACCACCTTTGGTGGTGTGTCCCATCGGGATTTGGGTGCTTCAAGTCCATACTGGGTACAGATGTTCTTGCACACTATCCCAGCCACTTGGTTGTGCCTCTCTATGTACGCTGATCCTGCTTGCATCTTACACCCTGCCACTATGTACTGGACCGTTTCAGGGGCATCTTTGCTCAGCCTGCACCTTGGGTCTGATCTGCTGTGACAGACCCTGGCCTCTATGGCCCTTGTGCATAGGGCCTGTTCTTGTGCTGCAATTATTAGTGCCTCTGTGCTGTCTGTCAGTCCAGCGTTCTCCAGCCACTGGTGGGTCTTCTTGATATCAGACACTTCCTCTATCTGACGGTGGTATGCACCATGTAGAGGCTTATCCCTCCGTGTTGTTTGCTCCTCTACCTCTTTGCCCTCATCAGGTTTCTGTTGTTTGATGCATTCACTTAGCAACACATCCTTTGGGACCACCTTGACGTACTCCTGAATTTGGATGTTTCATCCTGGATAGTAGCTCTGATGCTCACTAGTCCTCTGCCACAGGGACAATTTTGTGTCATCCAACAGTTAATATCACAGATACAGTCAACAACAGCAGCTAGGCTTTTGGGGTCACCAGGTCTCAGCAGGAGGTATTTCTGTGTGTCATCCGAGTAGCAGTGAAAAGAGACATTATGGCGTTGAATGATCTGACCAAGTGGGAGCATTGTGACCTTGAGGAGGGCCATTTCTGTGCTGTGTAAAACTCTAAAACCTTACTGAAATTTCTCAAAGATGTTGTTACGACACACAAAAGCTAAAAGCTGGGTAGAAACCACTTTCTCTAAAATTTTTGATAAAAATGGAAGTTTAGAAATTGGCCTAAAATTGTTGTGAACAGTGGGACTGAGGTTGGGTTTCTTTAAAAGAGGTTGGACCACAGCATGTTTAAAAACAGATGGAAAAACACCTTGTGATAGAGAGCTGTTAATAACCAATAAAATACTGGGCCCAACTGTGTCAATAACTTCTTTAAAAAATTTGGCTGGAATAAAATCAAGACTGCACGTATTTGGCTTCATGTGTAAAATGGTTTTGGTTAAAAGGGACAGTGACACAGGTTCAAAACGGCTCAAATAATTAAAAATGTCTCTGCTAGCATGAAAAGCATGATCTGCTGGGGTCATTTGTTGACTAATATTATCAACTTTCTCTTTAAAAAATTTGAAAACTTCTCACAGAGCTCTTGAGAAGCATCAGTAAAATAACTGTGGGTAGGGGATGTAACTGAGACTAAAACCTTAAATAAAATCATGCGGATAGAATGATTAGATAAATTAAGATTAGAAAACAAAGAGGCTCTTGCCTCTTTAACTGCCTTTTGGTAATTATGCATAGCATCTTTCCAAATGTCATAAAAAAACCATAAACCAGTTTTCTTCTGCATTCTCTCTTTAATTCTTGAGTTAGATCATTCAGCCAGGGTTGTGATTCTCTGCTTGTTTTTTTGTCTTTATACGAGGCAGCAGAGTCCAGGACAGTCTGGCATGAATGATTAAAAAGGGAGACCAGGCCCTCTGTGGTAAAATGAGAGATTAAATCTTCAAAGTGAAAACTGGGATAAGAGGCAGAAGTAAAAAGCTAGACAAACTGTCCTAAAATTGTCAGGGCTGAGACCGGTGTATAAAACAAGGTCCAGCGTGTGGCCTTTGGAATGGGTTTGTTCTTGCCTGAGTGAGATTAAAAACTTCCGGGGTGTCGATAAAATCAGAAACAAAGATCTGAGAGGGGCAGCAGACATCAATGTTAAAATGACCCAACATAAGGATGTTACCATATATAGACATAAAATGAGATAAAAGCTCAGAGAATTCCTCAATAAAAACACCCATTTGGCTTGGGCGGTTCATTTTACATACCTTGAAGGTATGTAAAATCAGGGGTGGTTGCTTCAATAAGAGCACCACAGTCGCCTTGGGATAACCATGTTTCGGTGATGATAAAAAAAGTCCAAGTTATTAAAAGTGATAAAATAATGACATAAAAAGGATTTGTTGTTAAGGGATCTGATATTTAAAAGACCAAAATTTACAGGGTTGTCACTAAAAACGGGGGATGGGAGAGGCTGATGAGGTATTTGGATTAAATTAACATGATTAACAGAAGAGGGACGTGATGATGAATGTGGGGCAGTGGGTCTACAGCAGGAGATAATGGTGTTTATAGAAGAAGGTATGGCAAATGTGGTTTGAGTTGGGAGATGGACCTGAGTAAGAGGTAATACCTGGGGTGGACGATAGGGGCAGCTGGAGCAGGAGACGGTGGCCTGAGAGGCAGGAGAGGAAGAGGGTTTGGGAGTGGGTGTGTCATCACTAAACAGTCATACACATGTGGATGATTGGATTGAATACTGGATGTTTGCTGATAACAGTTCATTACCTAGTGCGCTTGGGTGAATCCCGTCTCTTAAAAAGGGCAGCACGGTCCCAGAAGAGGTTAAAATTGTCAATAAAATCTATGTTGAGTGATTTGCAAGATGACTGGATCCAGGTGTGCAAGGAGAGGATACAGCTAAAAAGATCACATCCGCTGCCATAAGGGGAAAGCGGTCCAGAGATAAAAACTGACCTCCCAGAGTCCTTTAAAACATTAAAAAAGAGGTTAAAATCCACTTTGGTGTGCTCAGACTCTCTGCAAGAAGCACTGTTACAGCCAACGTGAACAACCAGATTTTTGATGGAGGTGGGGAGTGAGGGCAGTATGTCCAGGAGTTTGTCACGGATATCAACGGATAACAGGGGAAGCAGCGTGTGATGGTGTTAAAGAAGCAGATATGCCTGGTTATGGAGTCACCGATGATTAATATGGGGGNGGGGGGGGGGGGGGGGGGGGGGGGGGGGGGGTGATGTGTGTGGGCCAGCTGGAGAGGTCGGCTTCCTCCCTCAGCGCTGAGGACAATGGTGCAGGCTGGGGACAATGCACAAGCGGACAGGGGCGAGGAGCCCCAGCTCCGGGTAGATCCACAGAGCGTCTGATGATGGCCTTCTGCAGCATCCTGCAGCCATTTTCCCTCGTTGAGGTGGATCGAGATCCCCACTCAGCACTGGCCGCAGGTGGCAACGATGTGGCTGTGACTGGAGGAGTTGTAGGATCCAGAACTGCAGGGGCAACGCCAGGAAGAACCGGAGCCTTGACTGCCAGGATGTTAAAACAGTTAGAGAGCTCAACAGGTGGAGAGGCTCTTAACCCAGCCGGATCTTTTCTGCTGCAGCACACCACCTCGGTCCAAGGCAGTTCAAATGATTTTGGGGTGGATCATTGGAATGGGGCCAGGAGCCCAGAACCCAAGCCGATCTCCAGATCAGCTGGTAGCATTGGTGTTGTCACACACCCATCTATGGCAGCGGTGTTGGCGGTGTCCGGAGTTTCCATGTCCAGCTGTCCGGCAGAGGAAGGGCCGCTCACCTCAGCTGCATTTTCCAGGTGGACTGGAGCCACATCAGTGTGTAGCGGGGGCAGCCAGGGGAGGGTAGCTGCTGAGGCCGAGACCACCTGTGACATCAGGGAGGAGGGTGCGGCTGGGAAGGCAAGACTGGCGGACCGGAGATAAGAGATTTGATTTGACTGGGCGGCAGCCACGGCAACACAGCCTTCAATCATTCATCCTTTTTCTGAAGCTCACTCCTCAGGTGCTCGACATCATCCCTTAACAGTGAGTATTGGTGTTTACAGTCCACACACACCGCCATTAAGTCAGTCCACAAAATACTCTTAAAACAACCCGAACGTTTAAAAAGAAAACTTAAAACAGTACGTTAAAAGTAATCCCACGATCGGTAAAAGAGTAATAAATTAAAAACAGGTTAATGGCTTACATGGTCTGGGCCTGTGCTCCCGCTCTTCTGTGAGTGCTCTGTCGGAGAATTGCGAAAACAAGATAAAATCCAAGTCCGATGACTAAAATCCTTGATCCAGTTAAAAGATGTGGCTAAAAACAACCAGGGTTTAAAGGTGTAATAAGGAGATGTGGTCCATATGTGTATAAAAACTGGATAAAAGTCGAGTCACAGACAGAGCATGGTGAGGAGCTTTCTTGTCTTGATATCTGTGGCTTCTATCTCCTCCTTTGGCCAGCTTATTATACCAGCTGGGTATCTGATGACTGGCAGTGCGTACATATTGATGCCTCGGACCTTGTTCTGATCATTCAGCTGACTTCTCAGAACTTGCCCTACTTTCTGGAGGTATTTGGATGTGGTGGACTTGATTTCCATTAGCCTGCAGGATCCCAAGGTACTTGTCCTGGATACCTCCTATGTTGCCCTCTGGTAGGTCAGTTCTGATCATCTTGCCTCTCGTTGATACCACCCGCCCACACTTATCTAACCCAAATGACATCCCTATGTCCTTGCTGTAGATCCTGGTGGTGTGGATCAGTGAGTCAATTTCTCGCTCATTCTTGGCATACAGCTTGATGTCATCCACGTAGAGATCTGCAGGTGGCTGATAGTTGCCCCACTTCAGAATCGGTATCCATAGCCAGTCTTGATGATCTGATTGAGGGGATTGAGGTGACAGTGGATCCCCTTGGTATATGCCGCTCTGGTGCTACTTGGTGCTACTGCCAATTCCTTTCTGTGCCTCACTCATGTATGGGATCTGTCTCGGACCAAGCAGTCAAAGCACAAAAACACAGGTTCAAAGTTTAAAAATAGATGGATTTCTGATCCTGCCATTTGTGTCCTTCATCTTCTCAAGCCACTGGAGAGCCTTGTGGTCCGTCTCCAATGTGAATTCTCGTCCCAAGAGGTAGTATTTGAAGGAGTCTAGGGCCCACTTGATGGCTAGTACCTCCTTCTCCACGGTTGAATACCGGACCTCCCTTGGGAACAGTTTATGGCTGATGAAAGCCACAGGATGTCATTCCTCTGCAGGTCCCTGTAGAAGAACAGCCCCCAGACCCCTCTCCGAAGTATCAGTTTGAAGGATAAATTGTTTTTGAAAATCTGGACTGTATAAGACTGGGCTCGTACTCAGTGACTGTTGGTTGACTCGTGGCTCAAATGTTATTCCAGTGTTTCCTCTACATTCATTTAGGAGTGGCGGGCCGCCATTCCTAAATCCTAGCCGCTGCTCCTTCAAATTTATTTATTTATTTATTTATTTATTTTTTATTGTCGCAAATACACCACTACCACATGTCTCCACCTTCACAGCAGAGTCCTGCACTGGGTCGGGTACTTGTGAGTACTAAGGTAAACTACAGATAACTATCTTGCTCAGTATCTACTCTCTGGTGACGTTAATTACTCGTGAGAGCGCGACCTCGAAAGTGACATCACGTCAAGCACCCAGGCACCAGGTCAGAGAGTCAGAGGAGTGTCGTATTGGAAAATAGGGCAGCGACTTACCGGAGAAAAGGTAGACTTATTAGCTTAAGATAACTCATAATAGATTTTACAAGTTAAACAGACATTCGCAAAATACTGATGGCCAGCTAACGTTATGAAACATATCGGTAGCTTAAGTTAATTGGGCCCGGTGCCAACTCAGTGTCGCTAACGTGAGTAAACTAATTGATAGCATTAAGCTAATATCTACACGCCATGATGTAACTGCTGACTGCATTTTCAGATGAGCTTGTTCAAATATTTCTCGAAGAAGAGAAAGACACATGATGAAGATGATGCTAGTCAGGTATCATTAGCCTTTTACTGACTCATAAATGATGATGGTTAGGTAAAAAATTGTGTTAACACTTGTAATCAGATGTGATGTGAGTGTAAATTATATCTAACGTTAATGTTTTATGTAATCGTATAAGACAAGTAACATTAGACAGGGAGGAGCAGTGGAACAAAGTGAAGGAGAACAGAGTACAGCAGGGGGAGAGCCGAGTGAAGGAGCAGGAGAGCAAAGTGATGGTGCAGGAGAGAGAGATGAGAGTAGAGGAGAAAAAACTAAAGGGAAGCACAGGCTATCAGGCTGGGACCCTAAATGGGTTGAAAAAAATAGCCAGTTCCACTCATGGCTCTACCACACTGATAATGGTGAGTGCTGATGAACCTTTTTTTCCTTTCTTAATTTTTTGCATAATATACATGTCAACATTTCTGTTAAATAAATAAAAAATAAAATAATAAATAAATTCAGTATATTTCCATTGTAAGAGCAATGATCAATAATGCCACTTCACTCTGTCCCTATAGGAATGTTCTGCCGCTTATGTTGGCAGCATAAGCAGGCACCAAAAAGAGGAACGG